CATCCAATTGCGTTCGAGCTGGCGCCTCACCCGATGGTATGCAGGAGAGAAAAACCCCGAGGTGGGGGTCAGTCGCTCGATGCGTGGGCAGTCTGTCGCTCGACGCGTGGGCAGTCGGTCGCTCGAAGCGTGGGCAAAACGTCGGTGCCCCGCCAGCCACGAGGCGGGGAGGCTCAAAATTCACGGCCCGTCGTGGATCTAGATAGCTAGATGAAGTACGTGCTTCTTCGTCACGTAGATATGTGAATTGTGCGATATTTAACTCGGGCGAGAGTGCGGAATAGTGTACGTGCGTCTAGTAGATATACGGTCTAGGATTCGAGCCGCGCATTCCTGGTTTGAGAGCTTCTCCCGATTAATTGTCAAGATATCATTATAATTGTGTCGTCGCGTTTAGTGCCCCTTTTGTGTTTTGGTTGGCTAGTTAGATTAATTCGCGTGTCAACGAGGCGTATTTTGAATCTTGCGCGACGTGTTGTTCTGGTGTCGAATGAAGGAACTTAGTTGTGTTAAACGCTGAATCTGTCGGGTATCACGTGTTCGATTCTACGGTGAATGTGGAATTAGGCGAATTTAAGTTAGTTAAATGTACAATGAAGCTAAGATACTGAATTAGTGACGATGAAGAAAGAAATGGTCCAGCGATCGAGCCTGCTGGAGCGATGCAGCATTTTGGCGCAGCCTGGAACTCGGCCGCTGCTGGTCGCCTAAGCTTGCTCAGGTCGCAGACATTTACACCTCACTGTACACTACTCGCCATCCACTATTACACACACTCACGGCCTGCCCAAGCCTTGGTGCGAAGTTAGCTTCGGATAATGGTAAGTACTATGTGTTTCTAGCTTTCTCCCATATAGTTGATTGTGATAGAACATATTCCACGCGGCCATATTGCGGCCCGACCTGCGTCTGCTCGTGAAGTCTCCGCTGATGGGCCCCGGATGATTGAAACTTTGGAATAGCAGCCGTAGGCCGTAACAGTATGTATAGTGTAAAAATAGTAATCGATTCACGTAGAACAAAGTACTGAGGCAACACACATAAAAATACAGTCGAATCGAGTGCCTACTCCTTTTTTTAAGTTGGTTAAAAATGGTAAGTAGGTAAACTATCTGAGTTTCGAAAACGTTTACGTTGTTATCAACTTAATTTTTCTCGATGTTGCATATTAAGTATTAACCTTTCTCCTATTGAATAATAAAGTTTTTATTATCAGCAAATTATTGATGTCTCTGTGGCGCAGTGCAAATGACTAAAGAGAAATATGTATTTAATAATCGATGTCGATGGGTGCAAAGGTTCACACAGAACCATACTTTGTAGCAATCTAGGAGAGAGGCTTATGCTTAGACCAGGGCAAATTAATGGCTTTGAAAAAATTAAATTATTAAATTAATAAAAATTGGCAAAATTAATGGAGTACTTTTATCTAAATCTGTTTTAAACAAAACAGTACACAATACATGAAGTGTGTAATGTGAGAGAGAGAGATATATAATGTAACTTTTCTCTATAACATGCATATGTCAAAAGATAAAAGAACTCCATTAATTTTGCCAATTTTTTAGGTTTACGGTGGTAGAGCCACGCAGCAGTTTTTACTGTTGCACGTATGGGCCGGCTCGAGCCGAGTTGGTACCACGACCTCACAGAATACCGGCGTGAAGTAGAAGCTCTGCTTCTGCGTTTCGTCTGGTGAGTGCAGGTAGACGGGGGTCCAATCCCCCCCCCCCCTATCAACATGGTAGCGGAATTACACGTTAAACTACCCCAGGAGGGTACCAGCACCCCTGGAGAATCCCTCGCTGAGCATCCACGACCATGTTATTCCACTCCTGAGCGTGGGTGCTCAGGCTGCCCCGCGTATTCTGGGGGGGTGGGGGGCAAAATTCCGCTCAAAAACATAACTGCTCGGGGCAAACTGAGCAACAAGACCAAGGCGACCCCTGCCACGCTATCCGTGAATTTCATCCGCGCGTCTACGAGTGCCTCTATAGGTCCCATAGCGGTAATGCGGAAACAGACCGACTCATTGACCACGTCCAAATGGCTACAGATTTTTTGCTACAACAGGTCCCATCCGCAGAGATCGTGATCCTTGGCGATTTTAACGCCAAATAGCTCGGTTCACGTTTAACCGATCATGGAGGGGAGATCTGTTTATGACTTTCCTTTGGCATATGGTCTGACACAACTGGTTACTTCGCCTACGCGGATTCCAGATGTGGAGGATCATACACCTTCCCTGTTGGACCTTCTGCTGACCTCTCATCCGGACGGATATCAGGTTTCCGTCGATGCCCCTCTCGGCTCTTCGGACCATTGTCTGATCCGGAGTGTGGTGCCACTCACGCTCTCCTCGCGGTTGCGTTCTGCAGGTTGCCGCCGTGTTTGGCATTACAGGTCGGCGGATTGGGACGGAATGCGGTCTTTCTTTGCATCTACCCATGAGGGCAGGTTTGCTTCTCGCCGGATGATCCCAGCGCTGTTGCTGACTCTGTCACTGATGTGGTGCTATAGGGAATGGAACTATATATTCCATCATCTGTGGTACTCATCGGAGGCAGATCTCAGCCTTGGTTTGGTCGCTCCTGTAAGACTGCATTACGCAGTAAGCAGGAGTGTTATCAAGCCTGGGCTGCGGCTTCAGCGACTCGGGATGTAAACACCAGCACACTTAAAAAGAAGTATAACTTCGCCTCCAGGTCCTCCAAAAGAATTATTGCCAAGGCAAAGTCAGAGCACATAGGCAGAATTGGCGAGAAACTAATTCGCCTTCCTTCGAGAACCCGTGCATTCTGGTCTCTCGCCAAGGCTGTCCAAGGGAATTTCTGTAAGCCATCACTACCATCTCTGCACAGGGAGGACGACTCACTGGCCCAAGACGCAAAAAACAAAGCCGACCTTTTAGGCTGCCTTTTTGCGTCCAACTCGACTCTTGATGACGGGGGGAAAACACCGCCGACCATCCCGCGGTGTGAGTGCTCCATTCCGGATGTGCTGTTCTCACAACGCTCGGTTCGCAAAGCACTCCTCTCCCTGGACATCCAGAAGTCGAGTAGCTTGACGGAATCCCCACAATTATGCTGAGGATGTGTGCTCTGGAGTTGGCACCGGTCCTAACGCGTCTTTTCCGGTACTCCTACTCCCAAGGCGTAGTCCCGAATTCATGGAAGACAGCTTTTGTCCACCCGATCCCTAAAAAAGGCGACCGCTCAGACCCGTCCAACTATAGGCCTATCGCGATCACCTCCTTGTTCTCCAAAATAATGGAATCGATTATTAACTGCCAGCTCATGCGGTACCTTGAGGATCACCAACTGGTTAGTGACCGCCAATACGGTTTTCGTCGAGGTCGATCAGCTGGTGATCTTCTGGTCTACCTGACCCATAGATGGGCAGAGGCAGTAGAGTCCAAGGGGTAGGCGTTGGCCGTTAGTTTGGACATTGCGAAGGCCTTCGATCGGGTTTGGCACAAAGCGCTTCTTTCGGAGCTCCCTTGCTATGGGCTTCCCGAGAAATTGTGCGATTGGATCACCAGCTTCCTTGCAGATCGGAGCATCAAGGTCGTTGTAGACGGTGCATGCTCCGACTACAAACCTATTAACGCTGGTGTTCCACAAGGCTGTGTGCTATCACCAACGCTGTTTCTTCTGCATATTAATGATATGTTGCTAACTGGTAACATTCATTGCTATGCGGAAGACAGCACTGGTGATTCTCTATACACCGGCCGTGCCAATATTTCTCGGGTAAACGTCGCCGAGTACCGGAACAAACTTGTGTCTGAAGTCGAGTCTTTGCTGAACAAAGTCTAGGGTTGGGGGCGACTAAATCTAGTCCAGTTTAATCCTCAGAAGACACAAGTTTGCGCGTTTACAGCTAAAAACAAACCCCTTTGTCGTATCTCCTCAGTTTCAAGGCACTCCCCTTCTTGCCTCAGCCAGTATCGGAATCCTCGGAGTCGACATATCGAGTGACGTGCAGTTTCGTGGTCACTTGGAAGAGAAGGCCAAACTGGCCTCTAAAAAGCTTGGCGTGCTCAGCAGAGCGGGACAGTATTTCATGCCGGCACACCGCTTGCAACTTTACAAGGCGCAGGTTCGGCCTCATATGAAATACTGTTCCCATCTCTGGGCAGGGGCTCCCCAGTGCCAGCTCCTTCCACTTGATCGCATCCAGCGCAGAGCGGCTCAAATCGTCGACGACCGAGTCCTTTCCGATCGGCTCGATTCATTGGCACTGCGAAGAGATGTTGCATCCCTTTGCATTTTCTTTCGCATTTACCACGGGGAGTGCTCTTAGGAATTGTTCGCATTAATCCCAGCCGCCAAATTGCACGAACGTACATCGCGGCAGAACTCCCGATACCATCCACACCATCTGGATGATTGGCGGTCCACCACTGTGCGATTTAGAAGATGTTTTCTTCCTCGCACGACTTCCTTGTGGAATCGATTACCATTAGCGATTTTTCCGGACCGATACGAATTAGGGACCTTCAAGAAAAGAGCGTACTCCTTTTTAAAAGGCCGACAACGCATCTGCGACTCCCTCCCTGGTGTTGCAGCTGTTCATGGGCGGCGGTAGTTATTTACCATCAGGTGAGCCGCATGCTCGTTTGCCCCTCTCCTATAAAAAAAAGGTAAAATACAATATAACGTGAAATGAATGTGTTTAGAATTAAATTGCTTGACCTTGGTGTCATGTTATGTCACACGTCTCTGACGAGTAATATACGCGGGTGAAACCGCAGAGCACTGCTAGTTGATTAATAATTCAAAACACCATTCAAGTACGTAAAATAAAAAATAATATGTTAAATATTTGCTTAACATAATATATTTTGTTAACAAGACTAGAAAAATATGTTTACACAATAAAAAGAGTTACTGCTTAATTTAACTCTATATCACACTTATGAAACTGTAAAACTTGTCTTCCATAACATATTTTTAGACATGAAGATAATGATTTTGTAGTGGGATTAATCAGTGTATTTACAAACATGGAAGAGCATTGCCAATGCTGTCTTTTAAATATTTTATCAAAGCTGGTTTATCATGTGAAGTGTAAAGTTGACTGAGCTTTGAATACTTTAGACTCACCACTTTTATACCTAACATACGTAAATGTTTAATCCTTAAAGTCTGTGGTCCAATAAGTGTACTGTTGTCACAGCAATAATGATCGGGAAGATGGACTAAAATTGCGATAAATTTATTCTTCATAGATTTGAGTTTCCAGTTACACAAATTTTGTCCAATTTCTGATTCATGTAGCATCACATCAATTAGATATGTCTGATCTGAACAAAAGTTTGGTATCATTACAGCATTTGATACTTTCATTGAGTCTTCTACAATGGAAGAAAATATGCCATTTATCTTATCTAACATGTTCTTGATTCTCTTGTCCTGTGTGACAGGTTGTAGCCAATGGTCTTTGGGTAGCAAAGGTCCTGGATACTCTTGGCACTCCAAAGATAATGCAGTATCAATTAAATTAAGACGCCTCATGATCTCATGTTTATTAATTCTTGCTAAGTATTCAGAAGTAAACATTTTATTTACTAATTGCAAAGGATATTTCCCAGCATAAATAAAAGAAAGGACTATCAAAGAAAGATCATCAATATTCATTTTCTCAAATTTTTCAACTAAGGTTTCCTCAACCGCTGTCCAAAATTCATAGCAATTTGGGTAAAAGTTTAAGTAGCCAAATGGATAAATAAAGCACTTCAAAAAACTTGTAGGTATATAATCTTTATTTTTTAAAAGAAATTGACCACATCCATTAAGTATGTATTCATTTCGAATTTGAAATTGCATGCAATATTTTAAAATACCCACTATCAACACATGAGATGTAATTTTAGCACTCTTATGTCTCATATATTTTTCAACAGCTTTTTCTACATGATTATCAGTATAATTTAAAGTGGTGAGCTTTGTTATTATGTCTAACAGAGTGTCTTCATCTAAAGCATGAATATTCATATTTAACCAGGTACCAACAACTGCAAAAGACTGTAGTGAGAAGCATTTCTCTCGAAGAAATATCTCTAAAATTTCTTGCATACATGGTGCCCTAATTTTATACCATATATCTGATAATTTCTGTTCCAATAAAACGAATATTGTCCTTCTACTCGATTTTAAGCCAGGCAAGATTTTAAATATGTGTACAATATTGTTTTCATTAATTTCATTCTCCCTTTCAATAAATCCCACCCACAGTTTATCTGCAAGTTCTGAATATTTAGGATCATTATTATTAGCTATTAAATAACTCATAAAATCACAAAGTTGGTTCAATGTCAGTTTGTTATCAACAACTCTAGCAAGAAGCTCTTCACAAAAATTATGTTTGTATGGTTCTATTACTGAAGAAACAGTTTTTAAAATATTCAGAATAGTATATGTGTCTTCAGTTTTCATAACAATTTTTAGTAGTTTATTTAAAATAGCCCCTTTTGCAACACTGATATAATCATTTTTGATATCATTATCGATAACTAATGCTGTTGGATTGTTTTCTAAATCGTAAATGCGTTCTATTGCACCCAATGCAATGCTTGGAGTGATTTTAGTACACCTTGAAATCAATAAAAACACATCGCGTAAATCCATACATTGTTTAAACTCTGCTTGAATGACATGATAATTATTATGAGAATCTCCAGTACTTTGCGGTGACTCTACTTTGGGAATTTTTTCAAAATCACTTATATCTTTAAGTTTTCTTATAAGTATTGGAAGTTCTTGAACATTGTATCCATTTTCCATTATAATACTGCTACTGCTAAAGCCATGGTCATTCACTTTGTCATCGTTAAAACTTCGCTTAGATATAATAAAAACACCAACAGGCCACGAGTTACACTTATTACAAATTTGCACGTTCTTTCTGAACTTGAGTGAGTACGATCTACGTAAAACTAGAGACATACCTGATAAATTAAAAAATTATTAAGTTAAATCTTTGATTTGTCAATTTTATTTAGTAGTTAACAAGTTTTTTTATAACTTGCTTTACGGCTCTGGATTCTAGCCCTTCTGAACCTGAAGTTACAATGTAAATCCTTCATAGTGTACTGCTACACAATATGTTGATGAATCACATTGTGCAGCCCTTGGTGAGATTTTGACGGTAACTTGAGCCAGCAGATAGCTGACAGTTGGCAATGGTATCTCAAGGCGCCTAAGCAGACACCTTATCTTGAGAATCACATCACCATCAGAGCACTTGTTTCACCGTTTCCACTAACAGTTCACATGCGCAAACACCTAATACGCAAAATCGCACCACTTTTACATATCAAAATTCACTTCAATCCATTATTTAAACAATAATATAGGAACAGCAAACCGCCGCCGGTCAAGTTACCTCCAAAACTTCATGTAGTTAACAATTTTTTTTAAACTGGCTTTACGGCTCTGGGTTCTAGCCCTTCTAAGCCTAAAGTCACAATGTATTAACTTTACGATACATTCATCAAAAATTCACTTTCACATTGATTCACAGTTTGTTTACGTCTGCACTATTGATTAAGATTTGAACATTTGATTTGATTGAAGAATTTTTCATCGGCTAATAAACTTTGAAGAGTATAAGGAACTTTATCATTGTAAATATCTTGAATGGAATTAATGAGGAGTAATCTATTCAAACCAAATTGACTACATTGAAAAACCAGATTTTTTAGGCCTCCTTTCGTGTCTCCACAGTATTCACAATTTGAATTTTCTTTCATTCCCAAACGATGCAGGTGGGCGGCTACTCTGCTATGTCCAAATCTCATTCGATTTACAGTTGTAATGAATTTTCTATTATTAATCCTTTTTTTGTTGTACCAAGGAGTGGCTGGCGGGCTTTTATGTATTTCATAATACCAAATTCTTTTGGACTTGCTTATTTCTTTCCAGTATGCCTTCCATAAGGATCTCAAGTTCTTGCTTAACAAGGCATATATATCTGTAAATGGTATTTCCAACATTGTCGAGTGGTCTGAACATGTTGATGAGAATACCCACATAAAGGTAACAGTCTTCTTTATTTTACTAAGATTGTTTAGTAAGTTTCTTATATTATATATAATGTAACTTTTTTTTGTAATCTATTTCGTTAGATTCAATAGCTGCTATAACACTTTTTGAATCAGTGACAATTAGAAACTGTGAATTCGCAATGTTTTTTAAGTACAATAAAGTTAAGTAGATTGCATAACATTCAGCTGTAAATAAATTGTGAAAAATAGAGCATATTGTGAGTTTTAAAAGTTTTAGATATTTTCTTTTGTGAATCATAAAATGCTGAAGTTGTGTACTCTTCAGATTTTGATCCATCTGTATATATTGTACAAAAATCATTATCACCTAGATATCTTAACATTTCTATTTGAGAATTCACTTTTTCTTGACATACAGAAACATTAACGTTCAGTAAAGCATCAAAGCAAGCAAGTAGGGAAATTTGGAATAGGGCAACGGAACCCAAGAGGCCAGCATCAGGCCGACTTCATGGAGAAAGAGGGAGTCTTTATGATGGACTCTTTCTTCCAGAAGCGGCCCCACAGGAAGTGGACCTGGTCGAGCCCGACGGTTCGACAAAAAATGAGATTGACTTCATTATGACGACCAGATGACAACTGTTCAGTGATGTCTCCGTGATCGCGAGGGTGAAAATTGGTAGCGATCACCGAATGGTTAGAGGCACACAGAACCTAAAGGTTAAGTTGGAGAGGTCTCGTCTAATGAAGTCAACGCTCCGTCCCCCTCGTGCACTGTTCCAAAGTCCTGAAACCTTTCAACTCGAGTTACAAAACCGTTTTCAGTGCCTAGAAAACTGCAATGAATTGGACGATATGAATGACAAGCTCGTGGAAACTGTCCATGCGGTCGGAGCTAAGTTCTGCAAGACCCGCCGCAGAAGAACACAAAAACTCTCCGCTCATACTCTTAATCTCATGGCTGTTAGACGGGAGATGAAGCTACATTCTTCAACAGATTTGACAGCATACAGGCAACTGAACAGACAGATCTCCAAATGCATGCGGCGGGACTTACGCAACTTCAATACAGCTTGTATTGAAGAAGCGATCGAGCGGAACCAAGGCTCCAAAGTCTTTGCCAGTGATCTGTCTGCCAGAAAGAGCCAACTGTCAAAGCTGAGGACCGAGTGTGGCAGCATCGTTTCCGGGGCACCTGAGATTTTGAATAAGAGTGAGAGGTTCTATGGGCAACTGTACACGCCATCGTTGGAGCCACACGCAAGTGTGAGTAACGATCCAAGAGCGAGGCTTATCCGACACTATTCTGAAGATATCCCGGACGTCAGTCTGAGCGAGATTAGAATGGCTCTCCAGCACCTTAAAAACGGCAAGGCCGCAGGCGAGGATGGAATTACAGCGGAGCTTCTGAAAGCGGATGGAAGACCGGTACTTGAAGTCCTTTAGAAGCTCTTTAATTCCGTCCTCCATGGTGGCGTTACACCGGAGGCGTGGAGCAGAAGTGCGGTGGTCTTGTTCTTAAAGAAAGGTGACAACGCTCTCTTGAAGAACTACAGACCGATTTCCCTTCTGAGCCGCATCTACGTGCTGTTTCCGAGAGTCATTACGAATCGTCTCGCGCGCAGACTTGACGACTTCCAGCCTTCCGAACAAGCCGGTTTCCGAAAGGGCTTTAGCACCATAGACCACATACATACCCTTCAGCGCAATTTGCCACTACGCCTGGCGTATGTGGACTATGAGAAAGCCTTTGATTCCGTCGAAATTTATGCGGTGCTGCAGTCCCTTCAGCGGTGCCAAGTCGACTGTCGGTATATCGAAGTGCTAAAGTGCTTATACAGTAGGGCTACGATGGCTATTCGAGTACAGAACCAGAGTACGAAACCAATCCAATTGCAGAGAGGTGTAAGACAGGGTGAAGTTATGTCCCCGAAACTCTTCACCGCTGCAATGGAAGACATTTTCAAGCTTCTGGCCTGGAAAGGATACGGTATTAACATCAATGGCGAGTACATCACTCATCTTCGATTTGCCGACGATATAGTCCTTATGGCAGAATCGCTGGAGGATCTAAGCACCATGCTCAATGACTTCAATAGTGTCTCCCAACAGATAGGTTTTAAGATGAACATGGACAAAACAAAGATCATGTTCAATGTCCATGTCACACCTATGCCAGTAGTTGTTGGGAGCACTAAGTTCAAAGTTGTTGACGAGTATGTTTACCTGGGACAAATAGTCCGACTAGGTAAGACCAACTTCGACCGAGAGGTCAATCGACGGATTCAACTGAGCTGGGCAGCGTTCGGGAAACTACGACACATCTTCTCGTCAGACATTCCTCAAAACCTTAAAACGAAATTGTACAACCAGTGCGTGTTGCCAGTGATGACTTACGGATCTGAGACGTGGTCCTTCACTGCTGGCCGTATGAGGAAGCTCAAGGTCCTTCAGCGAGCTATGGAGAGGGCTCTGCTCGGAGTTTCTCTGCGTGATAAACTTAGAAATGAGTATATCCGCAGTAGAACCAGAGTGACCGACATAGTCCAACGGATTAGTAAGCTGAAGTGGCAGTGGGCCGGCCATATAGCTCTAAGGACCGACAACCGATGGGGAAGAAAGGTTCTTGAGTGGCAGCCTCGTACCGGTAGGCGAAGTGTAGGGCGACCCCCCACGAGATGGAATGACGACCTGGTAAGACATGCAGGAAGTCTATGGATGCAGGTGGCTCAGGACCCTGCTTTGTGGCATTCCTTGGGGGAGGCCTATGTTAAGCAGTAGACTTATGAAAGGCTGTAATGATGATGATGATGATGAAAGCATCATATTCTATTTTATATAAAAGCCAGGGTTTACTTTGATACACATTTTTGGTTTGGGTCTGTGAGTATAAAACAATCCTTAGGTTGTCTGGTAATCGACCAGATAAAAGCATATTTACATCAATGTATGAGCTATCATCAAACTCAGGAACTTCATAAGGAAGTATTTTTTTAAAACTAAATCATTTTTTGAACTGATTAATTTAATACAAAACTGTTCAGCAATTTGTAGCCTTCTTAGTAAAAGTGGAGGAATACAACTTTCTACTTCCATTACATGGATTGGTGTAGAGCACATAGCCCCAGTTATTATACGTAACGCTTTATTCTGAATTATATCTAATCTCTTTAAAATCAATCTGTTTGCATTTAAGTATGCTGTGCTTTAATCAAAATGACTTCGAACTATACTTTTATAAAGCATTGATAACAACTTTGGCTCAGCTCCCCAATGCACACCTGCTAATGATTTTAACACATTGAGACCCCTACAGGCATTTTTACACAGATTATTTACATGTTCTTGGAAAGTTAGCTTCTGATCAAGCAATATACCTAAAAAATATTTATCTGTAACCAAGGTATGTTATTATATTTTACAAAATTATCACATGTATAATATTTTTTGGAAAAAATGAGAGCTCCACTTTTACTAGGACTAATGTTTAATTTCAACTTATTTGAATAAAGATCATCAATTTGCTCTAATGCTAAATTTAAATTGTTTACCGCTATTTTTACATCTTTATTTAGAGTATATACAAGGAGATCATCAGCAAAATGCAAAAAGCTTATATTTCTATTTCTAATATATTTACTTATTAAACATGTATATATACTATATAACAAGGGAGATATAGTAGCACCCTGCATGGTGCCTTTGTATACATTTCTAGGGCCATGTATTATGTTATTAAATTTAACATACATAGTTCGGCCATATAGCAAATTAAAAATCCATTTACGTACTTTTCCAGGAATACCAATCTCACACAGAATATTTGCCAATATGGAAGAATCTACATTATCAAATGCACTTTGTATATCAATAAATGCACAAACTGTAGTTGCGTGTCTGGTAAAAGAATAATTTATATCTAAGATCAAAGAGGCAAAA